TCTGATTTTCACTATTGCTTAAATAGTGCTTTACTGCGAAGGATCGTGCACATATACGTTTCATAACCGCAGTTCATATATATGTATTTCATATGTTTGTTGTTTGATTTATCATCTACGGGTTTATGTCGAATTAATTTGATGGCCTGCTCCCAGTTGGCTTGTTAGCTCAATTGGTAGAGCGCTGCACTAGTATCGCAGAGGTCAGTGGTTCGAATCCCGTACAGGCCTGAATTTTTTTCAGATCTGATTTTCACTATTGCTTAAATAGTGCTTTACTGCGAAGGATCGTGCACATATACGTTTCATAACCGCAGTTCATATATATGTATTTCATATGTTTGTTGTTTGATTTATCATCTACGGGTTTATGTCGAATTAATTTGATGGCCTGCTCCCAGTTGGCTTGTTAGCTCAATTGGTAGAGCGCTGCACTAGTATCGCAGAGGTCAGTGGTTCGAATCCCGTACAGGCCTGAATTTTTTTCAGATCTGATTTTCACTATTGCTTAAATAGTGCTTTACTGCGAAGGATCGTGCACAGATACGTTTCATAACCGCAGTTCATATATATGTATTTCATATATATTTGTTGTTTAATTTTCGATAACTAGGTAAAGATTCGTCGCATTTTCCTTCTCCAAGGATAAAAAATAAACGAAAATATTCCAATTCCATACACACACTCACGCACACACACACACACCCACACACACGCACACGCACGCACACACACACACACACACACACACACATACATACACACACACACACAGGAAAATAAGGCGCGTCCCTTACCGCTTTGGTGCGCACAATTCAGGCGTATCCGGATTCGTACCTTAAATTTCCATCAACAGAAACGACTCGACTTGAAAATCAAAAATTGATAAATCAAAAAATGAATTTTTACTGAAACTGAGGCAAAAAGAAGTAGAATCAGCTCTGCTGAGCTTGAGCAATATTTGAGAAGCATCTGCAGTAAGTATCTAACGTCTAAAGAAGTTCATCGTAGTTCAAAGTTCTAATCAGCTATAGTTTTAGAAATATAGAATCGCCTCAGCCAGATCTGTTATGTTGAAAGACTCAATTTCAAAAAATTGAGAAACGTCTGCCCTCTCGACAGATTCTCTGATAATTCTATATACAAAACAATCTATTTTGCATGACTTCAGCCACTGCGTTTCTGAATTCTGCCGGAAAGATCAGACGCACCGACCATTGGCTAATTCCATGGCATTCAAATTATTATGAACAACTGGAACAGATGTGAGTACATGCGAAGCCACATGTCACATCCCTGACGAAATTACCATCTAAATAAAAATTTTGTTCATTGTATCTTAATATGTCTTTCATCATACTCAAAAACACCCAAAGTTTACCAAGTATATATTCTGCAGTAAATTCTTAACTATTTTTGCCCAGCTCTGTTTATTCTACTGTTATTTTTAGTTCTGAATTTGGTTATAAATGATGCAAAAATTGGCAATCAGTCCCTTATTTCTAAATTTTTATTTCCAAGTGTATTTATAATCCCAAAGGCAGCTTGCGGTCAAAAATCGACTTCCCCCTCGGGATTTTATATGGTTCGAGGCGAAACCATCGTTTGTGTCCTTCTGTCAGCTTTGATGCAATAGTTAAAGGTCCAAGAAGTCATAACATTTGTTGCAAGCTGCTGTTATACTTAAAATGCTTTCTTGATGAATGAAGACTAATTTCCTTGTAGGTTATGTTGTTATGTAATGTCACCTTTAATTAGTTATAGTTTTAGAAATATAGAATTGTCCGCTCAGCCAGATCTTTCTTATTGAAAGACTGAAGATAAAAAAAATTGAGGAAAATCTGCCCTCTCGACAGTCTC